TGTTTCCTCTTGACTCTCAAAAACTTCGTCGACGATAGGTCTTATGCCATCATCTCAGTCAAAACGCTGCCTTCGAAGATTCTTTTTCAGTACTGTAAACATATAAACGTTTTGCGAAGCCAAGTCTGAACTATAGTTGCACAATTGGTCTATTTTTGGCATCCGTATCTACGGTCGCAGTGTCAGGCAGCGGAAACACTTCCCGATTAGTAGGGTCTTTTCTGGTTGATTGCTTTACGTAAATTTTTCAGCGCATTTACGCAAACATACATAATTATTGTTGTCTCTTTTGGTATACCTTCAATAAGAGGGATGCCTCTGACGTCCCAAAAAATTGTTGTCATCAATTTTCCAACAGAGGGTTGCGTCCATGCCTTTTTGGTGGTGGAGACCCACTGCTTGGATTCTGCCTTTGTCTCAGGATCATCGCCTGTCACAATTTGCGCCCAAAATTAATTGGTCAAAGTTTCCAAATGACTTTCTAAAACTTCCAACCTGCGCAATTCTTGTTCATGTGTCGACTCATGCTCAAATTGTGGTGCAAGATAGTTGTTACGATGTTGACAATGCCATACTAATAGTAGAGACCTTCACATGACGATCTCCGAGAACCATGGCTTGAACTTTTTTTAATCCTGTTATCATTTGTCTTTCACATCTTCTATGGATTCACGCCCCATCGAAAATAATTCTAACAAAATTGTATTGTGTAATATGATGAGCAACATCCCCATGAAAGACAACCTTTCTCTCAAGGATTGCTTTGCACCCGAAATTTTATGACACTGCGATACTCTAATCTTAAGTTAGTCTTTTTTTTAACAATTCACTTCATTAATTAGAAACTAATTATCAGAATGAACGCAAATTTTGCAAGTAAGTCTTTTAAGTTTTGCATATGGAAATAAAACAACATTACATGACTTTATTGTTTTTCGAAGTATTCTCCACGAAGATTAATACACATCTGCATGCGCTCGAACCAATTTTCGAAGCACTTATTACACTCGATTGCTGGCAGATCCAAAACGGCATTTTTGAATGCGTCAACTGCTTCTTCTGGTGACTGGAACCTTTGACCACGCAGTCTATTTTTAATTTTCGGGAAAGTAAAGAAATCGTTAGAACTTAGATCGAGACTATATGGAGGATGGTCCAATAATTCCAAGTTTTCTTCCGTTAAATACTGTCTTATTTTTTGGGCTGTGGACGAGCTTGCATTGTCTTGGTGGAGGATGATTCTTCTTTCGAGGTTGATTTTTCGAAGCTCGGTGATGACTTTTGGCAAACAAATGGTGGTATACCAATCCGCAGTAACAGTTCTTTGCTTATTAAGATGAATTATTGCAAAATGACCGCGACCATCTTTTTCGAAACACTTCGAGAACGGATGACTTTTGTTGGCTTTTCTTCACCTTGGAACACGCAAACAGCCGACTGTCGTTTATTTTTTGGTTCATAACAGTAAATCCACGGTTCATCACCACTAACAATGCTGAGGACATTTTTTTGAGTTTCCGGAATTGAAACGGTCAAGCGTTTTCTGACACCAATTAACCCTGGCTGCTTGCTGCTCTTCAGTCAACAGGTGGGGTATCCAACGATAAACTAATTTTCTTACTTCTAATTCTTCAATTTCTTTTGACTTGAGGTCTTTGAGATCTTCAAGGACACCTCAATCTCGCGATATATCTCATGTATATCTTCAATGAGGAGTTTGCACACAGCATCGACGTTTTTCTGGGTGACTGCCATTTTTGGTGCACCCACACTGGAATCGTCGCTAAGACTCACCCGTCCACGTTTGAATTCTCCCTACCAACGGGAAATTGTCGACTGATGTGGCAATTCGTTGCCGAAAACAGACACTAACTCAGCAAGGCATTCTTGTTGCGATAATTGTCTCTGAAAGTTGTAATAAATTATGGCGCGAAAATGCTCTCACTTGAGTTCCATTGTTGTAATGACTTGGTGACACTTAAAAATGCACTGTAGTGAGAACACTGCACGTGTTATTGTGAAACTTTGAATTTAAGTTTACTAAAGAGTGAGGTTAAGAGTCAGTACTGACGTTCGATCCGCGCGGCCTACTATGTTTCTATATGCAAAACTTAAAAGACATCCCTCGTAAATAAGACACATGCCACTATTCGACATATTATGCTTGAGCATTTCAATTGCTTTTCTCATGGCTAGGTAGATGTTTTCTAGTGTCCCTCGTACATATGAGATAACATAAAGTTGCCGTAGAGAGAAACTTGAGCATGGGGGTGAATGAATGACGCAAGTGGGATAAAATTTTGCATAAACTACAAACTTCTAGTTCTACTGGAGGGGAACTGAGATATCAAACTTGAAAAATAAGTATGATTACTCACTACTAAATTCAAAAGTTTTATTACTTAGTACGGTAAGCAAAAATAGAATCCAGTCTCAGAAGGGGGCGAAATGAAGAAGGTTATATCAATTTTTCGTCTGCAAATCGTTTTCTCATCTCACCTTAGTGATGAGAACGATCAACGTCAACTTAAGGCGGAATTTTTGGAAAAATATTGAAAATGGTCCGCTCTCGGGGACCTTGGCAGTTGGAAGGATAGTTAAAACCAGGTTTGATTAAATCAACCTTGAAACTCCAGATCTGCTCGCAAATATCCTAAGCTACTAAGATGATAACCTAACAAACAGCATCGGTTAACCATATGAAGCTGATACCACGGTAAATTGCAAGCCCGCTAACTAGCCCCGTAACAAGGTCAATATTTGCCATGCCGGGTGCCCAGCGAGTATATAATTTGTTTACCTCTCTACTTACGTACGGTAAGGGCTGAACGTAGGGCAGGCCAAGGCGGAGCCGAGAACAATACACAGGGGTGAAAAGAATACCGGGTGGGGGTTATATAACTACCACCCACCTTTGACTTATATCAGTACGGGTGCAGTCATCACGGGGATCGTAGTTCGCCTAAAAGTTCATGTTACGTAGCTGAGTGCTCACCGGGATTAGAGATACGACAAAAAAGGCAGCGGGACTTTCATATAGTGACATTGTGTTGAAAAGAAGTCAAATTAGATGTAAGGCGTTCTCAAATGCTAAGACCTGCAACGCATCCGTTAACTCGTTTGGTAATGGTATCATTCTAAGACTGGATCAAGAAGTTACCTTCGGCACCGCCATCACTAAAGGAATCTGGATCAGAGTTTAGAACTGTCACAAACTGATCCTACTGAAGTGTTAAGATGTCACGATCATTTCTTGTGGACTCATTGATCAGCAACCAACCCAAAGAGTTGCAATCAAGATATTTGCCGCAGAATTTCAGCGACAGACCTTTGATGCCCTATCCACCGAACTATATCAGCAGTTATCTGTTCTCGTTGGCACAGCAACAGCAGTTACTTCAACAGCAGTTTCAGTATAAACCGCCTTTGAGACCTGTGCCCAGGATTGTGCCACCGCTAGCTCCTGTTTTGCCTCAACCGATTACGGTTAGTATTAATTCCCTTCTCTGGTAGACATTATGCATCTTGATTGATATTTTTTGTGGTCTCAACCATTCAAGCTTTGACTGTGATCCATCTCGATGGTTCTTTGAACATTTGTTTGCTTTAAAGGCTATATAACTCTGATTATCTTAGACTGGCTACCCTAGATTAGGTCTCAGGATGGAAGTAAGAAATATGGCAGATGAACATTTATGAGTAGTTCGCTTATACAATTTTGCTGTAAATTTTAACTATCATTATTTGGGGATCAAAACTCTTGGCGTTTGAAGAAATCCTTATAAGGTTACATAATATGTCAAAAACAAAAGCAATGTATGAATTAATATTGATTGAAATACACAATTACTCTAGGGCTGCAGATAAGTTTAAATTAAGGATGCAGTACCAGGATTTCTAATATAGCCACATATAATTCAACTCATCTTGCTCAGAAAGGCCGTGATAGTCGAATATAATCTGACAATAGCAGATTATCTTCTCTTATATGGCTATTTTGAACTTATCGGTGTAGGTAGAGGGTATACCAAACGTAGCGTTTTATTGGCTTCGGTCTGACTTTGGTATAATGTGTACAAATCTCTAATGACAAACAGAAGTTCAACACACATTAATTTCCATTATTCCAACAATCGGCTCCCCATCAGTATATGATCAATCATTGTGTAAGCTATTATTTGAAGTTTCTGCTGTTTTGCCTCTGTTCTTTTGCAAGTTTATTCAGCTGAATCAAATAAATGTCGGAAGCGCGCTGCATATTATTGGTTTTTGCTTTGTTGTATTCATAATAGAGATTGATGAGACTTCTGAAATACGTAGTAATTTCTCCCGTCAAATGCGTCATTGTTTAGGTAGAGTTATATTCATCTTTATAAGCCTTACCTCTTTTATGTGACATCACTTCGGCGTAATAGAATGATTATCTAGTGACTAAAAATGAAGTATTGCCAAATCGATTTTCATTTATTTAAATTCATATACAAATGTAACAGTTTAGCTTTACCTTGGTACAGTGCTCGTAAAATCAGTTTTGGGCACAGGATTCGGGTACGTGTCATTCAGCTCATAACTGGCAATTGAAGTTAAAGGCAAATTTATTTGGTAATACTGCTGTTTCAGGGTATATACTCTTTATAAAATTTTGGAAAGATACATCGTCCTACCTACTTAATTCCAAGCTACAGAGTTGCTGGAAGAATTACGGAAAACAATAATTTTTTCACCCGTCCAAATATTATTTTGGCTGACTGTACTTACCATGCATTGAACTTCTTTAGCCATAAAAACTTTTTTCAAGCCTGCAAGTGAGAATCTTTCATACTTGAACTCAAAACATCGTAAATTCCTTAAGTACTACTCTAAAATTTAAACAAGAACGATTAGTTTTAGAGGTGGTCAATCTGGATCAAGAATTTGTAAATTAGTAATCGATCCTATTTTCACATGTTAAATACATACCTTAACAACAGATTGACTACCAGTATTTTGTCAAATTCCAAGAGAATTGCGCTCGCTCTCGACTCCTAGGACTGTTGCAATTCACCTGAAGTTTTGGTGGTTTTGATTCTTCTGCCTGCGGCTACTTATATAGGGGTGCCTGTTCCAAATTTTTATATGTAACAACATTGTTTCCTTCGTTTTCAGACGTCACCAGTCAAGCGTTCACCCAGCTGTCACTCACCAACGTACCATAGTCCTGTAGTTTCTCCCTCACAAATGAGTAGTAGGGAATCCACACCGACTCCCCCGCTGATTCACAACCCCAAAGAAGATCAAACGGCTTCCAAAGATTCCAGCAAACGTATCCGAACGGCCTTCACCAGCACGCAGCTGTTGGAACTGGAGAGGGAGTTTTCTTCCAACATGTACCTGTCCAGATTGAGGAGGATTGAGATTGCAACTGCTCTCAGGCTATCAGAAAAGCAGGTAAATACATTTTGTGAGCTGAACTCCTAGCACGTATGTCTTCACATCACTCATACTGATGGATTCATGTCAGGAGCTTTCCACAAAGCCTCATACATCAATAAGTACTGACGCCTACGCTTCACGTTCAATATATAAGTATACACCACGTTTCATCCTAAATACCGACGAATCAGTGAATACTGAACGTGCAGCGTTAGCCTTATAATGTTTTCTACCTTCCTCAAAGACATTATTATTCTGTATTTTTACTGCTTGTCTTGCAATATCAATTCTTTATTATTCTTTCTCTACTCCTCCTCTTCTTTCTTTTCTCTCTATTAGGCGCGATAAATTTAAAAGATTAGTTACCCACGGATATTTAGGACTCAGGTCAGCATGGTGGCTCAAGTATAAAAAAATGGCCTCAAGTAGGTTGTCTCTACACTTCCATGTAACGCCGTCATCAGTTCATGATAGATTACGCTCAGCACAAGTTAGACCCTCGGTAGAGAAAAGTTGATATGCTTTCGTTGTTTTCCCAGAGACCAGGTAGCCCATGCTGATGAATTGCCAAAACAGCAAGGCAAGAAAAAATTTGTTACCAACATGTATAAGAGAGAAATTAAACATATCAAATCCGTCTAACTGGTCCATACAATTAGTCCTCGCCCTACCCGTAGTATGGTCTATCTGGCCACGTAGCGTCGTCTCTCCCCAATACCTGAAAGCATTATGCGTCACACTCGGTATAGTGCCCACAGAGGACCAGTCGTGCTAGACAAACATGAACACCGGCACACCGGCCGCTTGTCCAATACATTTTTCTATTGTTCTAAGTTCTAAGGTCGAAGGTACGGGGCAATCTATGATTTGTAAAATGTCTAATAGGTGCGTAGTATTGTCTGGGTTGGAAATATATTAATTTACTAACATCAAAAAATTGCTATACAACCTCCTCCACCCCCCAAGTTTGAGCGAGCCAATAGGTCTGCGAAGTAAAACGGCCAATTTTCAAATTTAGGTATACTTTTCGAAAAACATGTCAATGTTCCTAGGATAGAAAGAAATGAAAAAGTTACACAAAAAATTCATATAAACATGAGTCTTAGGATGTCCTCTTTCAGGGTGTTCAAGTTATAATTCCGAAATTGAAAAAAAAATTACGCAGAACTGACATAGCCTCCCCTACAGCACTAAGAGAGAAATTATTTCCAGCGCTACTGACTCCTTTCAATCAACTGTTGCATTTTTGCGTAGGGTGTAAAATGCTTTAACCCGTTGGACTGGCAATACCCTGAGGTTAGGAATTTTGACATGAAAATTAAAATTATCTGTAGTGACATGTTTTGTCCTTAGTCAGTCTCATCAGTGGCGTAAATAATCACTCTCATAACTCTCTGCATCTTGGTAATGGAGTATTTAGGGACTTATGCTTATAGGGACCTTTTTTGTTATTTATGGGTGTCCTTACTATTTTAGAAATATTGCGAGTTTTTCTGAAACAACCTGCAGAAATAATTGGGAATAAGCAATGGAAAAAGTAGCCACGAAAATAAGTAGCCTAGTCAAAAATGGATGGAGATAATTTGCGATGTTCTTTGCAGGTGAAGATCTGGTTCCAGAATCGGCGAGTGAAGTACAAGAAGGAGGATCTGCCAAACTCTGGAGTTACGGGTTCACAGCAAGGAAAGTGTTGTTGTTTGAGAAGTTGCTCTGGTACCAGAAGGCCAAAGAATGGTACGTCAAGCTGCGAAGATGTGGATATCGATGTGACAAATGTAGATGAACATTAGCTGAGTAATACATTGATTTTGAGAAAATATATCAATTGCAGAGTGTCATGTATTAATAGTATGTCAATCAATGCAACATTAACTTTCTAAAAATATACATTTGTGATTCACATAGAAGATGCCCATTGCATTGCCTTAAATAGCAAACCCTATTTTTGATACTGAACATATTTTGTATAAACATCTTATTTTATGTGTATATATTGTAATTTTATTTTAGTTTTATATATGATGCCAAAGTTTTCCTATACAATAAATAAATTATACTTTTATGAATAATATCTGTGTTGTTATGTAAGTATTTGAGTACATCCTGAAGAGGAGATGAACATTGTCGATAGCTTGAAACGAACAAATAACAATCTTTCTTTATGACCTGACCTCTTGCTGTGTATGCAAGCTTTAGGTCCTTGAAATTTGTTTGTAGTTACGACTACCCTGACCGACTTTTTATTTATATCCACACAAAGTACATCGTATTTTATCGGATATTCTATTGATTTTATTAGAAAACAGTGCCAGCTTGGGATAAATAAAAAGCGATATTTAACTTTCATGATATGTTTCAAAAGATGTGCTGACTGCTTTGAAATAAACATTTTGCTAATGACTTCAACTAAGGTACCATTACCTTAGACGCTGCAGGAGAAACATGAAATAGAAGATGCCACACACCACAGAATTGTTAAAATAGCTGCTGAATGCTATACCACTTTAAATTTACTGCGTTCTTCCGAATGATAGATACATTTGACCAACAAACTGGCGTCGAAGAAAACACATTTTAAAGGTTGACGTTACTTGCTTTAGATGGACCATGCGCAAGGTCCAATTTTGGCACACTCTCTCCAACATATCGGCCGGTATCTCACGAATAAATGCTTCAATATTGGCTTCCAGTGCGTCAATCGTTGGTGGCTTATCCCTGTAGACATTAGCCTTAACATGGCCCCACAAGAAATAGTCCAACGGCGTTAAATCACACGATCTAGACGGCCAATTGACGGGCCCCAAACGTGAGATAAACTGTTCACCGAACTCGCCTCTCAATAGGGCCATTGTCTCGTGTGCGGTGTGGCATGTGGCACCGGCGTGTTGAAACCACATGTCAGCCAAGTCCAGCTCTTCCATTTTGGGCAAAAAAAAGTTTGTTATCATCGCACGGTAGCACTTGCCATTCACAGTTACGTTCCGGCCATTGTCGTCTTTGAAGAAGTACGGCCCGATGATGCCACCGGCCCATAATCCACACCAAACAGTGATTTTTTCAGGATGCATTGATAGCTCTTGCAATGCTTCTGGCTGCTCTTCACTCCAGATGCGGCAATTTTGGTTGTTAACGCACCCATTCAACCAGAAATGAGCTTGGTCGCTGAACACAATTTTTCGATAAAAATGTGGATCTTCCTCCAACTTTGCCAGCGCCCATTCACCAAATGGGAAACGTTGTGGGAGGTCGTGTGGCTTCAATGGTGGTTTAATGTCCCATAATGTAAACTGGGTTCGAAATTTGGTCACAAGCTTCCGAATAGCTCCCTCAGTAGGCCGAACAGATTGCCCATAAATTGGAAGCAGTGCTCGATGCACTCTCTTAACCGAACATGAATTTTAATAGTAAAATTCAATAATTTGCAAGCGTTGTTCGTTCGTAAGTCGATTCATGGTTAAATTATAGACCAAACTGAACAAATTTGACAATGACACAAGACACGATTCATCTGTCAAAAACAGTGTTGCCAAAAAAATCACCCATTACATAAGCTGAAAGAAACTTCAGAAAATTAAAAGTGATAAGAACAATCTTACAAGTGTTGTGGGACAATTATGACAATCAAACTTTGTGCTGCCTTCAGAGGCAGAAAACCTCAGAACACTAAATTAGTCTTGAGCTACAAATAATTTAACAGAAAAATTTTCCGAAAAAAAAAAATAGTACAAGTAGGCCAACTGATCGACTCGGTACTTCCTATGCCTTCAGAATTCACTTTCCTCCCGCTCATGCATGGAGACGTGAAGGCCAATAAAATCGCATATTTTTGTTATTTGCCCATCTTGGAGCGTAAAGTGAAAATATCAATGCTTCCTCAATAGGTAACCATTTAGGTATATTCATATTTTTGGATGCACCTTGCGTGTTTGTTTCTTTTGTCAAGAATCCGTGTCACGAACTTTATCCTTCATTTGGGATTCGCGATAGTTGGGTTGGGTCCCTCTAATAAATTTAGTCCGGGCCCCTCAGCGGCAAGTACGCCACTGTTGATCATTGATTTGTCACGCTGGCCGTTGACCGAAAGCCTCACTAACATTGTTTCCGAAAAAAGCACGTCATCAGTTCAAAATCTAAATCAAATAAATTTTTCTAAATGATTTTTGCTACCCGACGTCGCAGATCTCCGCCAATAATCCAAAGTCCATCGAGCTCTCAAAGTCAACATAGTCACCGACTGAAGTTGGCCTATGCCATATTCTACACATCTTGCTATAAATGGAAATATCAATAAGAAAATAATTTTATTAATATGTTACACACAACTTGTTTTATTCTATTTGAACATTCAGTGGCCATTATTGGAAGCTCTCCACTCGAAAGGTTATATTTTGTTGTTATTTGGCATTTACCACTTCGATATTCATCACACACATACCTGTATATATCATATGCTAAGAGTATGTTTGCATATTTACCTAATAATAAATTTGTATTTATAACTAATTATGACAAATTATGTATTTGTAAATATACACAAATAAACAAATATCAGATACGCTCGACATAAAATTGATAAAATATCATTAAAGGCAATAATAATACAGTACTCAAATGAGTCAATTAATCCGATTGGAAATTTACATCAGCTGAAACGCGTAATAAATAATCTGATATAGAAGCTTCTATACATTTTGCAGCTGCATTTTATCTTCCATGCATAAGCGGGAGAAGTACTGTATCACATCGAAATATCTGAATTTCGAAAGTTTCAGTATCTCTCTCCATCTCTCTCTCTCTCTCGCTCTCTAAGAAACATGTATTATATGTAACACCAGCTGAAGGATACTTTCAGATTGTCAACTTTGTTTACGGTAATTATGATGTTATGGATTCAAACAATGAATCCCACTGTCCACATTTGGGTTGAGTATCTCAAAATATCCCACTTTATACTAATTTATACGTGTTGCGTTAACAAAATCGTTAAATCTTATAATATAGACTAAATGACAGAGAAAATGCAATGCCGACTAGGAGTGCTGTAATTATGAGCATACTTTTAGAAGCTTCAGGTCTACTGATAAATAGAAAGTGATTAAAATTTTAACTCGTAATTTAGCAAAATAGCTGAGATATCCCACCTTAATGTGAATGATCTGTTGAACATCCAAAATAGTGATAAAATATATGAAACTTATATAGAAATTACCAAACATAGTTATTTGGCACCATGAAAAGTAAAAAATACAAATAATGTATTTTTAAAAACAATGCTTTACTAAGGTGCTTAAAAAATGAATTGAAAATTTAAAAATATGTTGTCCGCTTGAGAATATTTAAACGAGAGTGAAGCTCCCTCATCTCCAGTTGTTAAATACAATCTTGTTACTTTTTGGCAGCAGTACGGGAAAAAGGTGTGACGCCCGACAGGTAGCGTTCCAGGCATATTTCTTAACGTTCATGTTCCAAGGGGCCTGAGAAAAGCCGAATTTTGAATGAATGTGTTTTATTTTCATACAAGCCAATAAAGTTAATATGTGCGCAGCATAGCAGCCGTACAGGAGATCACAGCTTACACCCAATTCGGCATGTGCTCCTCAGTGCTAGATCGTCAGCCGATCTAAACTATTTAAAAAGTGGCAGCTGTGCAGTCGCAAAGCATGTGCTCATCTGTCTCATCTTTCTATCCACAATCTCTACATAAAGATGTTTCACTCAGTAAACGGTTTAACTTGAGAATAGTCTGGAAAAATATGGTACTCAAGCTAAAATTGTTTTCAACCATACGTATAGGATATCTCAGGTGAAGCATAACTTAAGAAATTTAATCGGGGAACCTTGTATTGAACTCTACGTGTCATCTAAGGATAAATATGCTAAGTAAATCGACTTTTCAGTGCCAAAACTGTTCCTTGTCACAATTTTTATTATGATACTATAATATAATAATATTATATATACGAAATATGCAAAATATTGACTTACTGTGCCGCGTGCGGAGCATAACTTCCCTAAGTGAAATTAGACACTTCGCAAGTCGATCCTTAAAGCAACTGCTACTCGCTCCTGCATACATATATGGATTGGGTGTGGGTGGAGGACCGTTGCTTTCAGTCGGTTTCCTAAAATACTGCAATGATATTAACCCAGACTGCCGACATGGCAGCTGTATCTTTAGGCTTTGTTTGTTTTTGACAAGAAATTCTTAAAGGTGGTGAGGAAAAAAATAAAATACATATGTCTGTGATCTAATTTAATGTCCATGCATGGATGCAATGATCGCATCCGGTTGCCTTTTTTGTTTTTCGTTCTACAAAATTTATTTGACTCTTCAAAACATATATATTTGGAAACCAGTGCAAAAGTCCATCTTCACAATTGAAATGGTGAAAAACGATGAAAAAGACTACCAAAGGTTTCAGCTGAAGCTTTCCGACTGTGCAACTTTTCCTGATTAACTCTACAAAAAAAGCTTGCTCTACAAAAATCGTTGAGCAACATTTGGGAGATAATGAGCCGTATTCATAAAAGAGATGCATATCCTCAGAAGCATAAGGTAAAAGTATAAGGTCTTGCTTCGGAAAAAAAGGTAGAAGTATAAGCATATCCTTGTTCTCATATTCATAATGATTACCTTATACTCGCGAGGATATCCTCCAAGAAGAAGTAAAAGGTTGACTGGTATTTGTTTCTTGAGCGACATGTCTTGACTTGTTCCAGCTTGCAGTTGACTTGGGAGTTCGTTCACTCTCAGCATCACTGACAGTTGTACTCCAGAGCTTACACAGAGCGTTCCGTATTTTTACAGGATACAGTTTTTTATCAAATTAATAACCATGTCATGCTCAAGTGATGAGGAAACTATAGAAAATAATGGCAACGACCTGCAGTTCATCGCAGAATTGCAAAAGTCACAGTTTCCAAAAATAAAAATGAGAACGGACGATGCCGGTAAACCATTAGATACCAAAGGCTTAGTAAAAAAAATCAACAACATGAAATCAAGATTGAAGAAAAAAGCTGGTAGATAATAAAGCAATTAATTTTTTTGATTGGGGAAGAAAGTTGCTG